GGGATATATATATATATATATATATATATATATATATATATAGGCTGCATTAGAAATTTTATCATTGCTTTCTGAAAATTTCCAAGAAAAAATACAAGAAAACAAATCATTTTGTATTTTCTTAAAGTTAAAAATATTTATTTTATGTATGTGTGTGTGTGAATGTATCTATTACACCATGGACATACAAGTGGAGGTCAGAAGAGGTCATTGGATCCTCTGGAACTAGAACTACAGTTGGTTTTGAGGGGTTATATAGTTGCTGGGAACCACCCCTGGATCCTCTGAAAGAACAGTAAGTGCTGTTAACCATGGGGCCATTTCTCCAGCCTCAAACAGCAAGTATTTAAAAAGCAAAATACTTTATTGGGTCATGTAAATATTTTCCCCCACCTCAACCTGTGTGTACATGCAAATCACCACACCACGAATGAAGGTCAGAGAACAACTTCCTGGAGTCAGTTCTCTTCTTCCACCACACGGATTCCAGGGATTAAACTCAGGTCATGAGGCTCAGTAGTAAGTACCTCTACCCACTGAGCCATCTGACTAGATCCCTCTGCATAACTTCTTAAGGGGAACTAGTAGATTGTCAAAACTAGAACAAATAAAGTACTTGTTTCTGTTTTTTTTTTTTTTTTCTAACTGTAAAATTAAATTAAGGGCTGGAGAGATGACTCGGAAGTTAAAAGTACTTGCTGCATTTCCCGAAGACATGGCTTCCGTCCCCAGCACATATATATGGTGGCTCGTAACTATCTATAATTCCAATTCTAGGAGATTCAATGCCTTCTTCTGGTCTTTATGGGTGTTACAAACAAGTGAAACACTTCTACACATACAGGCAAAACATTGATTCATATAAAATAAGAATAAATACACCTTTACAAATAAACTTATGTAAGTTACTTTGGTCATGATATTTTATCACAGCAACAGAAAACTAATACATGGATATACCTGTGTAAATGAAATCTAGAAGTAACTGAAAAATTCCAGCTTCAATTCCTAGAATCTGTACAACATCTTTTGAAGACTCTTTCATTCCTCCAGCGAACAATGCTGCGAAGTATGGACTACTGGCAGCTAGAACCAGCCGATGAACTTGAAAGGTTTCCTTCCCAACTTGTAGCTGTACATCACAGAAATGCTGTCCATTTCTCATTCTGTTGATTTGGGCCAAGATGAGCTCAGCATGCTTATCAGAGGAAAATGAACTATCACCAGCCTTGGCACACTCTTCCTTAGACATGATGATCACAGTTTAGCCAAAGAGACTGTTGCCCATTATCTGTAAGATCAAACAACATATCTTTTTGTTAGTATATTTTCTATTCACATACAGATGAAACATTCTCTATCATTTATTTAGGATCATAAAACATACCAAACAAATAAGGGCTAAACTGTATGGTATGACTTGTAATACACTTCCTGGTAGTGGAATGTGTACACCAAAGGATGCTTCACAGAAGAAATAAGCACTAAATCGGGCACTAAATGATAAAGAACAGTAAGGTATGAAGAATGGTCATAAACCCCTCCTTGGGTAAAGAGATAAAGGTGCGAAGGCAGAAGTTGGATTGCTACAGCGGAGAAGTAGAAATCTTAAACAGGATGAACTTTTTGTTTGTTTTTTGTTTTTGAGACAGGATTTCTGTGTGTAGCCCTGGCTGTTCTGGAACTCACTCTGTAGACCAGGTTGGCCTCAAACTCACAGAGATTCCCCTGCCTCTGGCTCGAGAGTGCTGGGATTAAAGGAGTGCGCCACCACTGCTTGGCTGGCAGGACGAACTTCTAAAAATCAACTGTGACCAGCCCAAATGTCTGCTTAAAATCTTTCAATCTGTATGCTTCCCTTAACATACAAAGCCTTTGTGGATTTTTGTCATAACCCAAGACTCTGTTCAAATACAGCTTTTCCAGACAACCATTTCTGTTTCTCTCTCCTTTAGACTTGTGGCCATCCTAATCTTACCTATGTTAAACCTTGTTAGATACCTCTTCCATCTTAATCCTGGCTCACACACATACACAAAGTTCTTTAAAAAATAGTCCTTTTGTAGCAGGAAATAGCTTCTGTTAACATAGGATCAGTCTGCAACATTTATCAGCATTTCAAATGTTGTGACATAAGAAATAATAAAAAGCTTAGGTGTTTGTTTTGAGACAAGGGTCTCAAACGTATAATGACTCTGCTATCCTCTGACACCATAGTACCAGGATTGCAGGCATGTGCTCAATTGTTAGCTTCTTCACAAATTATGCCAAACCGTACCTTTTTTTCTTGTTTTTGTTTTTTAATACAGGGTCTCACCATATAGCCTTGGCCAGACTGGAACTCACTATGTAGACCAGACTGCCCTTAAACTAAAAAAGATCCATCTGCTTCTGTCTCCTGAGTGCTGGGATTAAAGTTCTATGCCACCATGCCTCATCCTCAATTGCAATTTTTATAACTAAAAGATGAGAAGAAAAAAATGATCTCTGAGGTCACAGAAAAGGAAACAATCAGAATCCCCCCAGCACTATATTGACAGTCTAATATTTATTTATTCTAAGCCTAGGGTTGTTCCCACCATATCATATTGCATAGCAATTATCAAACCGGGTTGTGGAGAATGGAACCCAAGTACAGAAACTTCAACCTAAATCTTTATGGGTTTAACAAAAAAATGTCAATAGTCATTTCAGAACTCCCGGGCTCTTCAAGTAGGCATGAAATAGGAGAGAACAAAACTCCAATCTTTTTAGCATTTCTTATGTCACAAACAAAATTGGAGATAAGCAATGTGACAGATTGCAATGAGAATCAAAGGGATAAACTCAAGTTACTGAATAAAGAAAACATGTATTCTTATAGGATAGGCAGATAAAGTAGAGGAAATTTTAAGATGATTAAGGTCTTGTAATTTAGGTATGAAGGGAAACTAGTAATAAAATTGCCAGAACTGTTGTAAGATGACATCTTTTAAAGATTAGTTCATGGGGCTGGAGAGATGGGTCATCGATTGAGAGCACTGGCTTCCCTTCCAGAGGACCCCAGTTCAATTCCCAGCATCCACGTGGCAGCTCACAACTGTTTCAGTTCTAGGACTTCTGACACAGACATACATATTGGCAAAACACAAATGAACACAAAATAAAAAAAAATTGTTCGGTATATAGCTTTCAGTCAAAATTATCAGTAAAAACAGGCTGGCGTTGGGTGTGGCAGTGAAGAGGCAGGCAAATCTCTTAGTTCCAGGCCAGCCAAAACTACATAGTGACACCTTGTCTTAATTACAATGAAACTGATAATCATGACTATCTAGAAACTGAGAGGCTTGAAGGGGGCCACTAAAATTTCACTTCAGCATGAACAGGATGCCAACATCTTACAAACAAGTCTATTTCCCTCATGTAGAAATTCAACCTGTAGATGTTACTAAACATGGCATGGCTGTCAGTTTTGTGTTTTGTATTCTCCCTGGTAGTAGATTTTGAACCCCTGAGGTGTGATGCCAGGTTTCCTACATTTGTCTCTTACTCAAGGTAACAAAGCACAGCCACTAAGTCAAAATGCCTATTACAAAAAACAGTTAACTGAATATTCACTCTGGCAGTGGAAAGCCGAAATGTTTGCTCCCAGTAAACGCTGAGTCTATCCCATTGCTGAGTCTAACGATGGACACGATCTGAGGAATTAAAGAGGACCTATGTTTTGGTGGCCTCGATTTTCCTCTCAAAAGCATCTGAAAGTTGATTGCATAAGGTGGCCAAAAGTCCAGTTGAGCATCAAAACAACTTAGACTCTTTGTGCTTGAGTTGGAGGCTGTGGCTAGAGTTCTTCCTAAACTGACCGACACTGAAGGCAGAAAATCAACTCTGTGCTACTGACAACGCAAGCAGGTAAGGCATTTTAGACCACAAAGCAGGCAGAAATCAGGGACAGCAGCCGGCTTTGGGCTTCACAGGTGGGGGTGGGGAAGAGCAGAGGCCGCCGCGCTGGAGATGGGAGGAAGCTGCGCGACGGCGACAACACTTGGACGGTCGGAGGGCCTCTGGAGATGGCAGGAGGAAAGCCGAGGAGAAGTGCGGTCCAAAGCACCAGTCACTCGCATCTTCCCGGTCCGGTGAGCCAGACACAAGGAAGCTCCCAACCCTGTGAGAAACACCGGACGCACGCCCTGCTTACCCGCCGCGTCCCTTCCCGCCGGCGCCCTCAGAGGCTCTGAGCGCGCAGCCGCGGCGGGCAGCCAGGGGGCGGGGACAGCTTGTAGTGACTGGCGGCTGCGACAGCTGAAAGCGCAGCCTCTACGCCTGTGAGGGGGACCGTCTACTGCGCATGCTCGGCACAGCCGCAGGCACTGTAGACACCGGTAACCAATCTGTCGCTGCTGCTGCTGCTGCTGCTGCTGCTGCTGCAAGCCTCCCTCATGCCTTGGGCTAGTGGGCTCCCCTAGTCCGTTCCATGCACATTTTCTGTTCTTGAGGTGTCCCAGGCCAGTCATCGATCTCGGCGTTGAGGAAAAACAAGTGCACGGTGTTGCTTCTCTACCCGTTTTATTGGATCATTTCCTGGGCCTCTGTTTGACAGACTCCTGCCTATTTTGAGAGAAGGACTCAAAACGCCCAGTTCCTTTTCAGTGTGGATCACCATAATGCGTCTCATTAGTGACTTCCGAGCAATTTTTAAAGATTTTATTTTTAAATGTATTTTATTTTTAAACTGTAGGGTTGTGCTTGTAAGTGCAGTGCTCACGGAGGCCAGAAGGGGGCCGTAGATCCCCTGATGCTGGAGACAGCCTGGGAACCACTCAGGTCCTCCTCAGTTTAAATGAAGTGAGCTCTTTGCCAGGAGTTGTGGAACAGGGGGCAGAGGCAGGAGGATCTCTGAATCCGAGGTTAGTCCAGTCTACATAGTTCCAGGATAACTAGGGCTATGTAGAGAGACCCTTTCTCAAAAATACAGAGATGGTGCATGTGTCCCTCAAACTTTTTGTTCTTGTTTTTAAATCCTGACATATAGGGCACAAAAATTATTTTACACCAAACACATACCACATACTTGTATATACAGATGTGTAGCTAAAACAAAATGTTCACAAAACTATGCTTACATTTACCCCACATACCTTCAATTTCTGCTTTACATTTCATCATGAAAAAATGCAAAAAAAAAAAATGCCGGGTGATGGTGGTGCATGCCTTTAATCCCAGCACTCGGGAGGCAGAGGCAGGCGGATCTCTGTGAGTTCGAGGCCAGCCTGGTCTACAGAGAGAGTGCCAGGATAGGCTCCAAAGCTACACAGAGAAACCCTGTCTCAAAAAACTAAAAAAAAAAAAAGAAAAAAAAAGAAACACCGATGGTACCGTAGAGCCTGGACAGCAGCAAAACAACCAGCTACTCCAGAATGTGGCAGCACCCCAGCTTTCTCAGGTCCCTCAAAGATGGTCAACACCCCTACGTCAGCAAGAAGTAGTCTTGAGAACTTAATGCCTCATTTCCTAACCTGCCACACCTAATTTCTCACCTTTTTAATAAAAAAACAAGGGAGGAATGTTACCATCCAGGCAAATGCAAACTGGGCCCCACCCCTTGGGGACCTGGCACACATGTCAGGTAGCACCCTGGCTCTGTACGCAAGTGCAAAGGTCCCTTTAAGAGATAAGCCCTGGGGGCTGGAGAGATGGCTCAGGGGTTAAGAGCACTGACTGCTGAGTTCAATTCCCAGCAACCGCATGGCACCTCACAACTGTCTATAATTCCAGTTCCAGAGGACCTGACACCCATGGCAAAGCACCAATGCACATATTAATAAATTTTAAAAAAGAAACAAGCTCTACCTACTTCTTTCTGCCAATTCTCTGAGGTCACTGTCTCTCTGTCTCTGTTTCTTTCTCTCTCCCCTCTCTCATCTCTCCTCCCTTTCCCCAATAAACTTTCCACATAAGTTTTGTCTGCAGGTCTCTGTCTATCTCTTACTTGCCATTTGTCCTTCACCTACCATGGAGCTTCCTGCCACAGACCCCTCATGAAGTATTTATAACAATGTGCATGTCTTGTGCCCTCAAGGCCACTGGAACCCTGGGACTGGCGTTACAGGTAGTTGAGAGCTACCATGTGGGTGCTAAAACTGAACCTGGGTCCTCTGGAAGAGCAGCCAGTGCTCTTAACCACTGACCATCTCTCCAGCCCCACCCTGGCTTCTCTACATCCATACTGTATCCAGAGAACTAGACCTTTCTATTGCTCTTATAACTTGCTAGGGTCACGTGAAACTCTGGGACTTTCTGTCACTTGATATTTCCATGCTACTCTAGGGAACAGTAGAATCTTGTTACTTCCTCCCTGACTACCCTGGGAATAGGGTGTAGAGGCCAAAGACTTGTTTACCCAAGAACACCACCAAAACATCTCTATTTGGTCTTGCTGCCTTTTGTATCCTCTATCTAAAAGGATGCCAAGGTTCACGTTGTAATTGGATTCTCTCCAGGACTGAAGTTTCTGCCATAACCACACCCCATCAATCAAGCCTGGACTCTGTCCATCCTCCTTGCTTCCCCTCAACTATTTTCTACTTCCTATACCCCAAACTAGTCTTAGGCACAGGAAGCTTGCTCTTTTCCATCATGTGCATTTGCAGTCAAAAATTTTAACTCTGAAAACCAAGATACATAGTTTTAGGTATGAGATGTCATTTTTTTTCCCTTAGAGATGGGAAGTGAAGCCATGAGTTCACTGAACTGTAGGAGAAAAAAAGGGAGGAGGGACTGAAATGCAAAAGGACAGTCTAGTTCACTTATTCGCCTATAAATTCAGATAAATAATTTTAGCAACTATGGATCTTCTAGAAGAAAGTTGATATTTTCATGACCAGGAGCTGAGGGCATCCAGGTCTCTTGCTGGGATGAGGGTCTTAGTACTTGATTCTGACGGGGAGCCCTAGAGTTACGTTTGCTCTCTCTGTCTGAGCCAAACAGGACTTACCGCATACACACAGCAAAGCTTCTCACTTATCGGAAACTTTCTGCTTTCAAATCTTTGCTTTCTCAGCTCATACAAGTTTTCCTGGATAAACTTCCAGGAAGAGAGAGAATTGAGGGCCCTACTTATTTAAGAAAAACTAAATTCTTGGACTCAACTAAAAGAGAACCCTGTTTTTCTACAGGATCCCATGTGTTTCTGCAAAGTGAGCAATGAAAAGACCAATGTGGGGAAGGAAACAAAAGAAACAGATCTTTCTCGTGTTGGACACACATCTAAATTCCAGTTTCAGCTTGTCACCATCCAGTTACATAAACAGAGGAAACCACTTAACCTTTATGTATTATTTTATCCATCTGTAGATAGGGCATTGTCCCCAAGGAACCTAGGTTCATAAGGGATAAAAGGGCTGCCGCAATGCTTAGTGGGTAAAGGTACCTATCACTAAGCTTGATGACCTGAGTTTGATTGCACACAATGGAAAGAGAGAACTTACTCCTGAAAGCTGTCCTCTGATATCCAACACTACACTATGACACATGTGTGACCCCCACATAAATAAATATATGTTAAAAAATTAGAAAGGAAAACTCGATAACGTAGTTAAAGGACCTCATGCGCTGTTTGTCCCTGTGTAAACACACAGCATTGTTCCTCTGAGCGTGATTGTTTCCTGTATGGCCAAATAGGCTAATGGATTTCCTGCATGGGGTGCATGCAACTGCTCAGGCTCTAGCTGCTGTAGGGATCCCTGTGTTGCCAAGCTCAGTTTCCTCTTTCATGCAAATGGTTTATTTTGTCATTTGGCGTTACTTCAGCTTGGGCTGGCATTGAACAGATTCCATACAGGAAGTACAGCCCGGTTGATCTGAGTCTCCTGAGATAAGCAGTTGGAAAACCATTCTCTGGATCCTGTATCATAGATAAGGGCTTCTCGGCTCTTCGCCTTTACCTCCATCCAGCTTTTATGCTGCCTCATTCTGGTTCTGTACTCACCTATCACTGCTTTCCCTGCTTTTTGTTTCTGTTTCCCTGCTTGCGCTTATAAACGTGCTTGGAAGTAAAGCGGGGAAGTACTTCTGTATGCTGTGAAGAACATTTATATCTCTCTCTCTCTCTCTCTCTCTCTCTCTCTCTCTCTCTCTCTCTCTTTCTCTCTTTCTTTTATTATGTATACAACATTCTGCTTCCATGTATATCTGCACACCAGAAGAGGGCACCAGATCTTATAATGGATGGTTGTGCGTCACCATGTGGTTGCTGGGAATTGAACTCAGGACCTCTGAAAGAGCACAGTTGGTGCTCTTAACCGCTGAGCCATCTCTCCACCCCCCTATGTGTTTCTCTTATTGGTTGATGAATAAAACTGTTTTGGCCAATGGTCAGGCAGGATACTAGCCAGGCAGGAAGTATAGGTGGGATTACCAGACTAGGAGAAGGCTGGGAAGAGAAACGAAGAGAGGCCCAAGGAGATGCCATGTAGCCTCCAAAGGAGTAACATGCAGGAGCATTTCGGGTAAGCCTCAGCCTGGTGGCAATACACAGTTTAATAAAGTGGGTTAATAACTAAGAGAGAGCTAGCTAATAAGAAGCCTGAGCCATGGTCAAACAGTTTATAATTAACATAAACCTCTGTGTGTTTATTTGTGACTAAATGGCTATGGGACTGGGTAGGACAGAAATTCCTTCTACATGCCATCTTACATTCTGGCCCAGGGCTTGGGCTTCCCTAGACCATAAAACATCAGTTTAATTCTGTCATCTACTTAGACATTTACTCAGTCTCTATTTAGCTGGTCACAAGTAGGAGGCCTGTAGGGTAACTTGTTTCTGTAACTTCTCCCCAACATAAAACCACCGGGAAGCTTTGAAGGAGAAACCACTGGAATTGGTAGAAACTATGGAGGAAACAGGGATAATATTGCTAACATGCACATCACACATGTACTAACACTCATACCCTCCAGGCGTTCACATTACACACATGCATCAAAGATATATATAGACTTGTACATTGACACAGTTACATACACTCATGTTCACATGTATATACACAGATATATACAACTTTGACCAGAAATTCTTGCTCAAGCCAGCCAGTAGTCTCACATGCCTTTAATTCCAGCATTTGGAAGGCAGAGGCAGGTGGATCTCTGTGAGTTCGAGGCCAGACTGGTCTACAGAGTGAGTTCTAGGACAGGCTTCAAAGCTACACAGAGAAACCCTGTCTTGAAAACAAAAATCAAAAAT